TTATTAACAACAAAGTTGGAAAAGTTATCAGCCTAGTACTGATAAATGGAAGGGTACAAATCGGTTGAAAGCAAAACAGCATATGTACCAGAATTCTTTGCCGATTGTGATATCTAATAATCGGTAAAAACAATCATCAGCTGAAAGAATTATTTTAGTTCGCTGTCCTCAGCCCAATTTCAAGAAAAGAAAAAAAAAGACTAGCTGATATTAATTTCAAAAGGTTACTTAAAACTCAGTTGAGAAAATCGGCTGAGGCAAAATCGGCTGAAAGAAAATCGGGTGAGACAAAATCGGCTAAAACAAAATCGGCTGAAAGACCAGCGGCTGCCGGGGGGCATGTGATAGCTAACCCCCAACAAAAGTTATAGTTAATCCATATGCTCTACTTCAACCTGCCGATTATAATAAGGTTATGCTTGCCGATCAAATTACTTTTGGGCATGATGCAGTCCTGATAATGGAGCTGAATGTAAAATTGGCTGAGGCAAAATCGGTTGAAAGACAATCGGCTGAAAGGAAATCAGCTAAGAAAAATCATTCCTGGCACAATGTCATAGAGATAATAGACAGATCGGTTAGAATGACGATTCACAATAATTTAATTTCTGCCGATCATGATTATGATTTGCTAATGGAATTAGAAAATGCATAGTGGGCAAGTCCTTCCTGGGTTTATGGGCAAGTGATATCAGCAAACTTTATGAGAAAGAAAGAAGCCTAAATCGGCAAATTTGGCTAATATGAAATAAAGATCATCTTAGGGGTGATTCAAAAAAAATAAAGCTTTGGAGCTCATTGATTTGCAATCTTGTTCCAAGTGACTAGCGCAACCCTTGTTCAAAATTTTCTTTTAATGTACTTTAAATTTTAAATATCTTATCGGCTTGGGAGGCCGACAGCCGATAAGACATTTAAAATTGGGGGGCACTATTGACACCCTTTTTGGTAAATTTATATGGGTAGTGACGTGGCAATGTTTGAAGTACAGGTGGATGGTATTTTTCACGTGGATTAAAGTTGAAATTTCATGTAAAAGTGATAAAAATGAAAGAAGCTTTTGAATTAACTAATGAATAGGGATCAAGTGCTAGTATTTATCTTTTAGTTGGTTTTAGTTAAATATTAGTGGTTATCCATAGATTAGTTTAATTTAAATTCATAGTTAGGTATGTTATAGAGTTGTAATGTAAGTAAAATACTTGCATATAGGAGTTTGTTTTACGTAATTTTCTATAAATAATGCTAAAGGTATGCTTTGTAAGGGGTCCAGCCTCCTCATAATCTTTATTATTATTGTTATTGTTTTCTCAAGCCCTTTCCCTAAATAGCATCCTTGCTATTTTTCTCTATCTCTATCTATGTCATTCTCTCTATCTTGTTCTAATTCTCTCTCTATCTCTTTCTATATCTAGATTTTCTTCCCTTTATATTCTCAACTGTTACTATAATTATTCATTGTTAAAGTCCTTTTAATTAATGCAATACTGAACTCAAAAGAGGAGTTTTATTGTTCTCTTTCTCCTTGCATCGCCTGAAAGTCAACGTTCTCAAAGTGACTAGAGTTGACCAATTACACGAACCATATAATTGGTTCTGGCACGCTCGTATTACATCAATTTAGAATCGACTCTAGCCAGCCGATTTTAACATTAACAAGTCCATAGCTCAGACAATTTTAAAAGTATATTGAAATATTTTTCGTTAAAAACGTATTAATTTATATATATATATATATATATATATATATATATATTTATAAAGGTCAAAAAGTCCAACAGTTTTAGTCCATAGCTCAAACAATTTTATTTTATTTTTTATGCTCTTTTATCTATACCTATATTTATCTATATATCTATATCTATACTATTATTAAAAGTCTATAAAAAATTATTTTTATATACATTTTTATACTATTTTTAAATTAAAAAATTACTAATATTTTTTTTTACTACTATTAAACGTTTATACAATTTTTATTTTTAATGTACATTTTATACTATTTTAAAGTAAAAAGTTGTTAATATTTTGTCTTTTTTTACTCCATGATGATTCATGCTTAACATTTTTCTCAAAGAGACATCCAAGATGATTACCAAAGCTATAGCCGAATGGTACTTCTAAAATAAAAAGTCCAGAATTCAAGTTTCTATGGGGGCGCAAGTGGGTTTGTGAGTGTGAGTCAAGGTAATAAATAAATAGATAAATAAAAACCAAGATGATTTTGTTTTAAAACTGCATTCATGTTCGTAACGTCTATTTCAAGAGTTACTAAGATGAATTTGCTTATAAACTTCATATTTGTTAATATTCAACATCTATCTCAAAAGTTATCCAGGATGATGATGAATCATTTCCCTTCTCTCAACCCCAGTGTTTGTTTTGAAATTTTTTACCCACAGATGGTTTCAAAATTAAAAATTGTTTTTCGTCTATTAAACCAAAAAAAATCTCCTTAACTTGATGGCTTCAACTCACTTTTTTTAAAGAAAACATGGCATATTGTGGGTGAGAAAGTGACTTTGGTAATAAAATAGTTTTTTTTCAAACAGGTAGAATTTTAAAATAGATCAATGTTACCTATCTAACCTTAATTCCCAAAATTCCAAACCCCACTTCCCCGTATGATTACAAATCTATAACATGTGCGGTGTTCTATATAAATGCATCTCTATGTTATTCGCTAACAAAATTTAAACTCATCTTGCCTACCCTCATTGACGAGGCACAAAATAAATAAAGGTAAAAAAATTGGGAGCAATATTATTTTGGCTTAAGACTTTTGAGTTGCAAACGCTTCAAATTGCGACTTCTCTTTTTGGGTCCCTCCAAAATCCAACTTGTGAGCCCTCAAATACTATAGAGAAATTGGAGAAGAAAGTGTGTAGGTGGGTGATGTGAATAATTGCATATATAGACAGAGAAAGGGTAGTCAAAGAATGAATGGTTCTCCTCCCTCCATTTTATCTTTATATATCCTTCAACTTTCTTTAATTATACACTTAACCCACAATTTTAGCCTGTTTGCTCCTTCCTCCAACAAACTCTAGAAAAATTACTAATTGCTACTCACCCTTTTCATTTTTCTCATTCAAGTCCCCAACAATTCTCATATAAGTCCTCGACAAGTCCTGAATCCAAAATCTTTTCCTGAGCCCACACACCCAAATCAAGTGTGCTCCCAACAAAGTAAAGAAACATATCTGAAAACACTTAATGATGGAAATACCAGGTATATACGTACTGATTTCAAATCCAGAAATTAAGTGTATTATCATAAAACTGAGTTCCTATGATCATAGTGAGTTTGAAGGCCTGTTGATGACAGGTGACAGTCTATCACCATGCTCATTTCCAAATTGAATTTCATGAGAAAGGCCTGAAGACATTTGCCTTCCTGTTGTCGTATAGTGAATAGACACGATATATCCTTCTCTATCTGTCGGTTACTGAAGTACCGACCTATGAACAGGTCGTAGAGCGCCCGAAAACTGCCAACTGATCCCCTTGATAGGTGTTTGAACCAATTGAGCGCAGGTCCGGTAATGCTTGTTGGGAAGACCTTGCACATCAGGGTATCATCCTCAGTATTTAGAGCCATTTTCAGCTCGATTTAGTAGACGTGTTTGATTGGATCCTTTGTTCTGTCGAATAGGGTGAACGTCAGCACTGAGAATTTTCTAGGCTTTGGGAATCGCAGGATCTATTCCATGAAGGGAGAATCAACAGTCGACGTCCGGGTGGCCTCGTTGTTCATTGGAGGTGCTCTCTGTTCTGGCCGCTACCTGTCGGTGGCCCTTTGGTCATGAGTGCTCACATTTGACTGACGCAAATCGTTTAATGCGCGCCTTATCTGTAGTCGATTCCTTTTGCAAAGGAACGGCCTCGACGCGTTCCACCTATTCTTCTGGTTTGAGCCTGCTGAGCTGTGGGTCTATATGAATGGATCCTGCCCTCTCCGCCCTTTGGTTGACGTTTGTTGGTTCCATTCTCTCATCTACTACTGATGGGCGAGGGAACGGCGGAGCGGCGCTTCGTTCTATCCTGGATTTGAGCTCGGCGTTCTCCCGTCGTAGAGTTTCAATAACCTACATCAGTTCATCATGCCTCACTCGCCTGTCCTCTTGCTGTTGGTGGGAGCCTTCTCCTCTGATCATGGTTCCTGATCGAAGTTGTGTGATTCGTTATTGGAATCGATGGATCTTTCCTTCGTTTCCCACAGACGGCGCCAGATGAAGATGCAAGAAATAGCTCTATGTATTAGGAAAGTATTTCCTTACACTTCAAACAATCTCCCTCTCTCTCTCTCTAACTCCTATTTATAGGAGTGTACATTTGCCCTAAAATCTCTCTCTTGTCTCTCAAGCTTGGGTCTTTTCTAGGCTGGGTCTTCTTCTCGGGCCATGATGGATGGAAAGCCCGCATGGAATACCGGTGAAGTTGGGCCTCGTATTGGCGTGATAGCAACTTTGGTTGAGCGGACTGAGCCAATAGAGGCCTAATGAGCCCGTGGACCTTTGGTTGGGCTTGGGGCTTCCCTTGTTGGGCTGACCAAAGCCAGGAACGCTCCTTGGCTTTGTTGATCCGGCCCCTTCAATAATACATATTCATGAACTGCATTTGGTTTAACATTTCATTTTTACTCCAACCTTTCGGAATTAATCATGTGTTGGATGGTGTTTTGCTTTAAAACACTGCATGCCCGCAGAAAAGAAAGCTCGGATCCCCGTTCATGTAATGATGGACTTGAGACTATTTCTCCTACTTTATCAATATATATCAAGAGCAGCATCATATTCATGTGTGGCTTCTTTCTTTTAGTTGCTTCTTGTACTATATTTTTTTCAATTTCAGATTTTTTTGGCCTATCTGGACATTCGATCTGCTAAAAGATCAGCCACGTGCTATTTGCTCACCATGTCTGCACATGTTGTTTTGACACCATTTACGAAATTTGCCAATTACAAACTTTATATCTCACACAAAAGACACCTCGTATTGATTCTGCAGTATACAAAATTTATATCTCACACAAAAGACACCTCCTACTGATTCTGCAGTATCATTCTTCCAGTAATGTATTCCGACTTAAATTCCTAAGCAGTTGAGTCAATCCAGAAGAAATAACATAAACAATGTTCTTAAAAAAATAAAAAATAAAAGTATGAAACATTTTATTCATTTCAATTGATATTTTACCTATATAAGAATAAATAGGAACAAATTTATTGATGTGAAATTCACTTATTGGTGTATAAATTGATCTCAGTAGACAGTGTCCACCGGAAGCTGAAGGCTTGAGCTAATCAATAATCGTCGGCCAACTGAGCAAAGTTAATTGGGGCTACATATTCTGGTGTGCCATGATAAAGGGTTAGAGCTGCAAGCCTAGAAGCAGCCTGTGTGGGGTGGTATAAATCCCAGAACAAGTATTCATTGCGATTCGCGCAAAGATTTGCATCTGGAAGGCAACCTACTTCTGCATTCAATCGTCCACTTCCACAACATGCACTTTGCACATCTTTAAAATCTGAGAAGACACAAGAAAATTGAAGCAAATCAGTATATACATGATACTACTAATCAGGTCAAGCTGCATAGAAATATGGAAAATGCTATCCTCAAAATCATGCCTTTTGCTTGCATTAGAGTGGAGTTTAGGAAATAGAACCGAAAATCAGAAAACTGTGCAAGAATCTGTTTGGTTGGCTGTTTCCTGAAAACTGAGTTAAAAAAGGTTTGTTTTCACCAATAGGCCAGTGACCTAGCAGTACTAGAACCCTACTTCTCAAAGAGAGGTTAGGAGTTCGAGTCTCAATGAAGGTATGTGTATATGAGTACTAATTAAGAAAGAAAAAAAAGTTTGTTTTCAGAGAACTATCTTTTGTAGTTCTCGAAAAATCTGTTTTTTGAAATCTTGAAATTGATTTTAGAAAATTGAACCAAGTAGACTCTTAGATGCCAATTTTAAGATATGTCACTCAATAACTTTGAGGCCAAAACACATCTTTAAGCTTCTTCTTTTTTCTTTTTTTTTTTTATCACAATATAAGGAATGCATCTAATGCTGTGTTGAGATTGGATTGCTTACTATTGGGAAGCGGATTGTCTATGACATCTATGGTCATTTTGTATGTATTTCCAAGTGAGTACTTCATGTCCTGAAGATCTGAGCTGAGCTTGCTCAAGAGGGTGTCAAGTGCTGAATGGAAAGCTCTTGCAGCTTCATTAATGTTCTCCAAGCAACCCCCTGTAGCATTGAAAACTCTTTGAGATGGACAACATCCTATCGGTGGGACACTAATGATGCCAAACTTCCTTGCTCCAAGATTGTATAAAGCCTGTCATAGCACCATAACTTCATTAGTACAAGAACAGAATTTCTATTTTCAATGTACGAAAATTCACAAATCGAAATTATATGCATTGATCAATTAGTTAGTTATGATGATTATCAAAATCCGAAAGAGGACATCTTACCCTTATGTAGCGTTCATAAGTGTTCATTAGTATGGCGATGAATTCTTGCTCAGTTATGGTGGTATTAGAATAGAAATAGCCGAAAATGTCATTGCTTCCAACACTTATGCTGAAAAGGGATTCGGAGAGAAATTGTTTTGTTACTTCTGCACCCTTTACTGCTGTTAGATTGTTGTAGATGGTGGCAAATTGCGCGATCTGCTCAGACAAGGGAATAACCATCTGTTGATTGTTCAATGGCCGGCCATTACACATGAGAAGGAGATTGTTAGAGCTTGAATTGTCCAAAGTTTGTTCATGGAGAAGGTAAATATGATTATGAGATGTTAGGATCAACACAGAAGTCTAAGGAGGTCTTACCGTTAGCTGTTGTCCAGTTAAGTCAAGAAGGCCGGACCCTCCTGAGGCGAAGTTTACGCCTCTAAAGCTTGGCCTTTTGATACTAGATTTCTGGTTAAGAAGTAAAAAAAATGGATTTGGACTCCTCTTGAACCCCATTAGCTTGGCTGACCAGGGAACCAATTACAAAAGCAAGATTGTTAGCAATGCATGTTTTAAACATTGCAATGTAGTTTTACATTAAGCCTACTATATAGGTACTATACTAACCAAGAAAATCAGCACTGTTGAAACCATTACTGAACCTCCCCGTTGATCTTGAGTGGGGGAAATCAATGCCATTGTGAGGAAAGTCAGCTCTTGCCCCACTGGCAGGCAAGTAATTGTTAGTCCCAACATCGGCAGTTGAGTCTCCTAGTATGAAAATGGCGGGAACCTTGGCTTCAACCACATAAGAAGTGAACATGGCTAAGGAAAATATCATCAGAAGAAGAGGTGAAGCATAGTTCATCTCCATGAGAGAAAAAGGTAATTAAACTCCTTGCTTTCTCTGAATTCTCTACTGTGCTGTTATGTGTGACAGTATTCTATGTTTCTACAATTTCAGAGCACTATCATCCTAAGTAATTTATAGACCTTTGAAGCAATCAAGTTTCACAATGTACAAGCAGAAACTGCTGAAGTAGTCATTTTCTCATGTATGCACATGAGCAAAATTACAAGAACAAAGAAAGTGGGCAATAATGTAGTAATTATGTCGCATACCTCTAATTACTGATCTGCCCATTCCTAGGCAGCATAACAACCCTTGATGACCATTGTTATGAGATTATTGTTCCAGGTATGTGATTTGAGAGCATGAAATGTACTATTCAACATATTTCCTAAGCTTTAAATAATTTCAATTAACATTTTGGTTAGTTCAATGTTAAATCCAGTTCAATTGAGAGTGATAAATACGGCCAGTTCAACATGTTTGATTATATAAAATTTCGAGTTCAATGTGTTTTGATAGAAAAGTGAAGGGATAGAATTGTCCAGAAATGTGGTTGCCGTCTGTGTCATACCAGATTTGTCTCTCTATTTAGTTTTGTGTGATTGGCTTGACTCAGTCTTTGAATGTTGAATATATTCTTGTGAAGACAAAAAAAAACCGGCCGAAATTTTCTCTGTTGTGATAGAAACAAGAAGAGTCTTGTTTGGATTTGTGGGTTTTTTTCTTGTTTCTTTCATTGTTGTGGAAATCACTATTCTCCTTATAAGAAGGAGAACATTGTCAAGTGGTTAGAAAAGCCAGATGGTTGCTATTAAGGAGAAAATAACATTTAGACACACCAGGAAAAAATTACAGAAACAATGAGATATTTGAATTAATAGTACAGCTAAAATAATTATAAATCAAATTCAATCTTTGTGTCCCCGAGTTGGGGCCGCGTCATTGTAAGTATGCAACCTTTTGTTCTCCTTGTTCTTTACGAGTTTTGACTAGATAGGCCGTGTTTCTCTACCACTAGCTTTACCACAGAGAAGAGCATTCTTAGGAATGGGGTATTCATCCCTGAGAGACTTAACCGGTGAATAAACTCGAAGATAAAATTGTTGTCCAAGGTATTGTCGTGCCCAATATTCGCTCCTCATGTTCCACATTCCCACATTGTCAAGTGCTATGTATATAGCAGTCCACGACTTGGGATATACCTGCAGCACCAACAATGTTAATTTCAGTCACGAATTATGTTATGTACACGAGCGATTCTCAGTTGAGAGCAACTACTACATCAAAATGCAACAAAGTACGAGTCTCTCACCTGTGTCGTGCAACGTGACACAGCATCTCTAAGGTTGTACTGCTTCCGACTAGCAGGAGTCCACAAGCCTCCATCCATTCTGTAATACATATATATATCTCGAATTAATTTTGAAGTACATTTATGCGCATGAACAAAAACTTGCTATTTGGCTGTTGCTTACCCGACCACGAAGAAAGAATATCCATCAAGGTGCCAGCTCTGAACGATGTTTTCATTGTTCTCAAACACAATCTCAATGAATTCTCTGAAGTCCGCGCCCATGACTGATGTGTCAAGGTACATTCTTGCCCTCGGTGGCTTGTCAGGTATGCTTCCAACACGGAACACTCCTCCTATGTTGTAGTAGTCCGCGACCTTGAGTGGTGTGTCAGCAGGGATGAATGACACACTGTTAACTGCATATCTCTGCTTCCCATTGACTAGACTTGCATGATTGGCTAGCTTGATACTCCTTGTGATGTTTATCATACCGTAGTGGTATGAGCCTTGTGGATTCGGTCTTGGTCCACTCGCAGTGAGGTTAGTCCTGGCAAACAAACAAAAAAAAAAAATTGTCAATTGTTCTTGTATATATAAAATTGTGCACATTTCTGTTTTCGGTGTCCATGAAAACAGAAATGTGCACAGGCAAGTCAATGTAGACTTCTAAAACAAACTAGGGAGGCCTTAGGATTGGTATTATTTATACCTGATGCTACGAGCCTGGTTTAGTGACCAATCTATCTCGATTGTAGGTCCCCAAGGGGGTAGACCAGAGACCGGTTTGGCAGAGTTGCTGTAGTGCAGAATGGCAGTGGTGTTGAGGACTTGAGTGGTGAAGCGGCTGGAAACAGCAATGTAGTAGTCCTGGGGAGGCTGATCTGCAGTCACTAAAACCGAGTAGGATTGTCCCACATGAACGTCGAGGGATGAGAGGGTGGTTTGGACAGTGTGAGTACCCTCGACCTCAACCAGCTTCATACTGTGGCCCTGAATCCGAAAGTTGAGTGAATTTCTTAGTCCCACATTGGATATCCTGAACCTGTAAGTTTTTCCTGAAACACCACAGAAAATAATGTCCATCACTTCATGACACACACATGAATTATACATAGAATGCTTCAACATTGAGATTGACTAGCTAGGTACCTTGTTCAACTGTGAAAGTTTCTCCATTTGATCCACGGCCATTAATTAAAACACCATCAGGGAAACGAAGCATTTTACCGGCATCTAAAATGGTCTTCAATCTCTGCACAATCAGAATAGCAAATTAAACTTTTATTTTTCGGGATTAAGTACTGACACACATCTCACAAATGACCCACTACGGGACTCAAAGGAAAGGTTATATACCATTGGACTAACGTCCCATTGTCAAGTAACAAATCATGAAAATAAGATAGTAGACAATGAGGGGGTCATATGAGTTGATTACCGTGTGATTACTTTTGTACCAATCTCCAATAAGAACAGTGAAATCCCCGGCAGGGTCGGGGAATGGGACTGGAATTCGAGGCCTGCTGAGGATTCTGATCCCTCCAAAGCCGCCTGCCGCCTTGTGGAAGGCGAGAGACGGGAAATAGAAGAAGCTTCCAATCTGGTCTTTCACCTGCATGATGTATGTGTAGTTCTTGCCAGGAGGAATGGGACATGTAGTTCCATACACCCCATCTACATATGAATTTTTCCTATGCTGAAGCCCATTCCTACATCATAAGCCATAACAGTATACAATTCAATTTTCATACTGAAGCCCATTCCTACATCATAAGCCATAACAACATGCAATTCAATGTTCATAAACATCGGTTCGCGGTTGAAAAGTTTATCGTGGAAAAGTGACTTTAAATGTGAAAAGCCAATAATGTTCTTATATTATAATAATATATTGCACTCTACAGAAAGAAAAGACAAAAAATATTGGTCAACAAATCTTTAAATTGAATTTTAAGATTTAAAGTTTGAGGAGTCACTTTATTATAAGTGTTGGACCCTACACTGTCCTTGATTAACTGAATCACGCTATTAGAACTATTAGCGTCTCTGTTTGGGCTATTGGAACTATTAATTGGCTTTTTCTTATATTTACTGTTTGGATGAAAGAAAAAATAAAGGTCAAGAAAGTGGAAAGCTATCACTCTCAATTAATCTAAAGCAGGATTGGTTTAACTTTATACCTTATGCATTATATGCTTAGTAAAGGACAAATTCCAATTGGAATTTATGAACGGAAAGAACTGACCACAGAATGTGGAAAGTGACATTGCACACCTAACAACACAAACAAACTACAATTGCCAAATGGTATTCCATCACAGTATTTGCATGTCATGTCATGCACCAATGGTGCAATCATGTGTATGTTTTGTATATTTAATATATATATATAACTACATATTATAATAATATATTATTCTTTAGAACTGAAATCTTTCTAATATTTTTAATATAAAAAATTCCAGGTCAAGATCATCCATAAACAGGGGAAAAATGTATTTCATAACTCATACATAAAAATATATATATAATTTTTGCATATATAAATGCGAAATAAAAAAAAAAAATTCCGAGCTAGTAAAAAAATTGCAAGATGAGGAAAGAAGAAAAATATCAGAGTTATATGATTATATCCTGTCTTTGTGATATACTGTTTTTATTTTTTTAATTTCAAATGAGACAGATTTTAAAAGGTAAAGAAAAAGGCCTAAAAAACACATAAATTAAGATTATTTATGCGCTTTTTTAGACCACATATGAAATCTTCAATATTCTATTTGGTGAATAAATCATCTTAGTATTTTAAAAATCAACTATTTATAGGATATAATAATAGAGTTTTTACAAAAAAATTTATGTGGAATTAAATATCCATCCCCATCAGGCATGATAATATGATTATGCATATATATATATATATATGAATAAATATACACATATTTATACATGAAAATAAAGGCCATTACTACACACATGAGGACATTAATTTTATTCATATAGAGAGAGAATATTTACCATGACAAAAGAAATGGCTCCGGCAAGCTGTTATGTACATTGATAATGAGGTTGTCGTTGGTCACAGAGTAAATATCAGGACCAGGGAATTGGCCATTGATCAGAATTCCCTACAATTGTAAAATAGAATAAAAATCGATTGATCCTCATGTTTGGAAGAAAAGAAAAGAAAATAAATGAAACCAAATTTGTGGATTGCTAAACCTGCTGACGAACTCCCAGTGGATAAATATCACCGTACGTGATGTTCCAGTCGAAGAACCTGTAAGGGTCTTCGGCGATAGCAACGGAGAAAAGGAAGAGAAAGGCGCAGAGACGCCGGAGGAGAGAAACTCCGGCGAGATTTGGCAGCATTTTGAAGGAAAAGAATGGATGAAGATGAAAAGAGAGGAAGAGACGGGTTTGAGAGAGAAGAGGTCTCTCTTATTTGTGTAATGAATGAATGAGAGCAGAGAGAGTGAGAGGGGAGGTTACTTATACGATACGTATCGCTACATGAACTGGTAACAGTTGGTAACTCGTTTTTGTATTTAAGCCGCGTGTGTGAAGGAACTATGCCAGAAGAAGAAGATATTGATATATTATACACAAATGCATATCTATATGTATTCTATATCTATAGAGAGACAGTATTAATAAGGAGAGAGAAAGACTTAGATGTCTCAAGCCGCGTCGGTTTGGTCGCCAAAATGCGTAGTGTGTGGGGTAGTGAAAAGCGGTGGTGGGTGTTATGGTGCTGTTCCTCTATATTCATAACTATTTAATCTGTCCATATTAAACCAATAACAGAATGACACGTGTTGTCGAAAATGTGCTTCATTTCATCTTAGTGACAATGATGCCCTTGATTACTGCATTTTATTTATTTGTCCAATATGAAGGTAGTAGTGTTTTAATTGAATGAAAGCTTGAAGCTATTAGGTTTCTAAGAAGATTTACGCTTTGAGGAGACTTTATTTCATGTTTCAGAGTTATATCACGTAATTTTGGAGTATATTTTACAATAAAATAGATATTTTATTTATTATTTAAATAAGGGCAAAAATGATATTGTATTATTTTTATTCCAAATTCCATTTTAAATCTAATTTGTTCTAAACATTTATATAGAATTTCATTTTAGTTCCAATTCCTATCTCAATTCAGAACCCAAAATAATTGATTCCAATTAGTATTGTATTATTTGTATTCCAAATCCCATTTTAAATCCAATTTGTTTTTCCAAACATATAAATAGAAATTCATTTTAATTCCAATTCGTATTCCAATTCAGATTCATTTTCTAGATCCCAAAATAATTGATTCCAAACAAGGCATTAGGAAACTGCCACTAGTACATTTTATGTTGATTTAAAATGTTTACAAAGTCTATCATTTATATGAATAATGATATCCACCATCTACTATATATTATCACAATTGTCATGATAATGAATATTTCACGATCTATTTTGGAAAGACATTTTAATATTATTTTTATTAAAATTAAAGTGTCATAATTTATTACACCTTTTTTTTTAATCATTAGTAGATATAAAATTTATAATTTATAATTTTTATTATTTTTTATTTTTTTAAAAAAGCACATTCAGAGTACCATAAATAAGAAAACCCATTTTTAAATTTTGAATTGGGCGCATTTATTTATTTATTTTTAAGGCAAGAATGTGAATGGTTAGAGAGGAGGGGAGGACGCAAGGCTCAAACACAAGTTACCAAACAATGATGTTATATCGGACCTCGTAAATTACCTCATAATTCTTTTAACGGGTCAAGTGTTTTTAAATTACCTTTTTTGTGGTCAGACCACCCTATCTATCAGTTTATGAAATTAATTGTAACAGATCGAGTGCTTCACAATCTAACCCAAAATCCTAAACTAAACCATATCAATTTATGAAATTACCTACAAAATTTTTGAAGTAAATAATTATATTTTAATTTCAAATTTGGTTCAATTATTTATTAGTTTAAATACAAATTAAAACCATAAAATTCTTTATTTCCATTAAACCACCCCACTGTAGCTTTTTGTAGGTTGAGGAAAATAAATTTGTCCCAAACCGCATAGGGGGCTGATCACGTGACATGTCCTTATAGAGTCTTTTTGGTGGAAATGGAATGTCCGTGATTGGTGGTGGACGCGACACACGGAATGTCCATGTGCTCAATATATCGGCACCCACCAGTCACTGCTCTTTTACAGCTGTGTTATCGATAACTAAGAGCCTTCCCAGTTCGATCATTATGTTGGGACCCACAGATAATGGACGGTCATGATGGACAACATTCGCAAAATCTAATGCGGATCATCATCATGTTTTAAATTCAAATTTATGATCTTATTTAAAAATTGAGATTTACGCGGTAAGTCTAATCATTTACGTGTTTGACCGCATACAACTATAGAATATTCTGTACTCTTTAAGGTATGCTTTTATATTCATATGTATTATGAGAAGTATATATATTTGACTTTTTGGGGATCTGGAAATTAATTAAATCTCTTCCCCCTTAAATTTGAAAGAGACTAATTTGTTCTTTTGACCTTTTACTTCTTAAATTTTGAATTTTTTATGAGATCAACTCAATACGCTGTTCTTTTCCTAAAGAAGACACTGGAAATCCATAATTGAAGGCTGTTTCCTTTCCAAAGCCTTTTATTTTTTACGTAGTAAGAAATAACTCTAATCCCGCAATTTGTTCCTATATTACCTTGAGAAGTTGAGAAGATATATCATATTAACTTTTTCTTTTTCAATCAAAATTTTCTTCTAGAAGGAAGGATGAAAGAGACTTCCATCTTGAAAGGAATAGAAGATTGAGGAAATAAAAAGAGATGACATATCCTTCCTAATTCACGTTTTCTCTCTCATTTTTTATTTAAAAATTATTTTTATCATTTAAAATTAGAGGAAAGAGGAGGGAAAAATAATAATAATTACTTACAAAAATGAAATACCATTTTAGCCTTCAATTGCTTACAAATTTTTTTTTGTTAAACTCCGTCAAAAATATTTTATTCACAAAATTATCTTTTATTTGCCTTTTCCTATCACAATTAAAAAATTAATTTGGCTTTTAATAATATCAAGCATAGTACAACAATAACCAAGTATTTTCTTTTGAATAGTGATACTTGTACCGATTTGTTGTAGTCAATTGTGTAATGGAAAGTTTCTAATGGATTATTTACAAGTAATACAAGTAAGTAGAGGGTCACACTCTCTTATTTGTTGCATAGATTGACCAATTAAAATAAATATGTCTAACAATTCACTACAACAAATCGGTGCAAGAATCATTTTCCTTTTCTTAATTACTTGGGTCCGGATATCATGTTTCCATTTCACTCTATCTAAGGTCATAGTTTCAGTTAATCTACGTACTATCATACATTTCTTTACCAATTCTACCTAAATTAATTTTGGTCTTCCTCTTTCCCTAATATTATGGGCTATGTCACTTTTCCTAACTAGGGTACTTAAAGATCTTTACACATGTCAAAACCATCTTAACTGATTTTCTTTAATTTTAGGTGTTTGATAAAACTGAAAATTATGCACTGAAAATTTTAAGTATTAAATTTTAAGCGCTGAAATTTTAAATACTGAATATATTAATTTGAAAATCTGTTTGATAATATTTTAATTTTAAGTAGTGAATTCATTAAGATTGTTTGTTATATACAAAAATTGAATTCTGAAAGTTATACATATTACATTTTTGCCTTCAATATATGGCACTCATAACAATTTTATATTTATAATATAAAAATATTAATAAAATAACCACATTAATTCACTCGATGAAATATATCAATTTAATAACGACTAATAATGTCAAATAATCAAAAAAATAATTGATGAAAATTTAAAATATATGAATTTTGAATTACATAACATTTATGTAGGATATTGAAAAGGATGCTACAAAGATTAAAGAAAGTAAAATTTAAAATATATAGGTTTTGGATTACATAATATTTGTTTTGTAAGATATCAAAAAAGGTGTTACAAAGATTAAAGAAAGTAAAATTTAAAATATATTAATTTTGGATTACATAAAATTTATGTATGGTATTGAAAATGGTGCAAAATTTAAAATATATGAGTTTTGAATTATATAATATTTATGTACAATATCGAAAAGGATGTTAAAAATATTAAAGGAAGTAGATGAAAAAGTATTCTTATCTAGAAATAGAATTCTATTATATAAATACTTTTGTTAAATTAATTTGAATAGGTAACCAAAAGAGACGTGTTTATAAGATAATACATATTACTCCCTCCGCCCCATAAAAAGTGTCACTTTTAGAAAATCTTGTCTCTCACAAATTGAACTGATACGATTTCCTATTAAGGACACTTTTTTTGGGACGGAGATATTATTATTATTATTATTATTTTGGGAATTTGGTAAAATTATATATTTTTTAAAGAATTTTTTCTATAATGTAAAAAAAAAAAAAAAAAAAAAAAAAAAAAAAAAAAAAAAAAGAAAGGTACCAACCAACCAAATATATATAGAAAAGTTTTTCAATTTTAAACAAATTGCAAAGAGAAGCCCTATAGAAATCGCAGAGAGAGGCCTAGAAGAGGGAGCGTGATTATTGGAGGATAGAGTAGTCATTAAAAGAATATTTTTAAAACCTAATCACTTACAGTCTCATGCGATAAGCGATAAGCGATAAGCAACTATCTCCACGCTTAAAATTTTAGCATCTTTTAAGCGGTACTTACCATGTTAAGCGATGTCCTAAAATTTTATCAAACACACTTATTTTTTAAAATCATTTACCGTCTTCTGCATTTAGCGCTTAAATAGGAAATCAAACAGGCCCTTAGTGTTACTCCAACCATCTCCCAAATGTGATCATTTCTAATTATGTCATTTCTAGTGTTACCTGTGAGTTGTGCAGCGGAATACATTGTGAAAAGTTTAAGTTTTTATCTAGAGAGGATGTAATCACGTGTTTCTATATTCAATTAATTATACTAAAATTACCGATTAATTAAACAATCACATGCAAGATAAAAACAAGTAAAGTTTAGAGTGACACCAGATTTTAGTGAGAAAAACAATTGGAAAAGCTCGAGGTTTTGTGCGCTATCCCAAGCGTAAAAAGATCCACTATGTATATATGAAGCAAAATACACCGAACTTTAATTCAAACTCAAACCCCTTCGCTCTACCAAGACTCAATTTGCTGAATGTCTTTAACATTGTGACTTCCTGTCCAATAACACTTGACTTTAGACTTATGCCTCAAACCTTGTAGAAGAACTACTAGTAGGTCAACAACACTCTGCAAGTGCCTTGATCCCTTCAAAGTATGATATATTATTCTTTTCATTGAATCTGAATTTGATGTAAGAAAAATAGATCTGCATTCTCTAACAATTGTAGATGCAATATTCAATAGACTTGAAAACGATCAGGATTTGAACAACACCCTAAATTCACTTGTGTGTGTATAATGTGTATGCTCTTAAAAATCTCACAAAAAAGGCTTTTTAAAATAAATCAAAGTTTAATGCAAAAAGGCACACAAACCTAGATGAGAAAATATGTTTATACAAACTTT